TACTGACCTCATCGCTCCCCCACTCTAGTGGGAGGCGCCCAGCGCCTGGCGACGCTGTCGCACGCCATGGTGGCGCTTCGGCACATGATGTGCCCGGTCGTAAGCGTCCACGACGTCAGGGCAATCTTGCCGGAGGATAACCTCAAACTCCCATGAGTTCTGTGAGTGAGGGTAACCCCTCCACTTCACTAAGTACTGGGTACGACCCTGGCGTCTACGCCACGCCACAAGGCGTTCCACGTGAAAGTGGAGCTCACCATGCTCATCGAGCAGAGCAGGAGGAGGCCTTGCCTCAGCTGGGCTCTCGCGGGGAGAGTCAGCACTTGCCGGAACGGCGTCTGCGTTCATACGACGCCGGCGTCCACGACGCGAACGTTCACCGCCCATCGGTCGATCTCGAAGAGATGATCCACCTTGTGGATAGGTTATAGCCACCACTGTTGACTCACAACCAGATCTCGGACCTTGAGCGTCCAGCTGCTCGGCTGAACGTTCAGCTTGCCTTGCTCCTGCATCTCGAGCACTTCGCTCCGCGACCTGTGGCTCTGCCACATGCTGTTGATCAGCCATCTGTGGATCCACCACTTGCTGTCGTTCAGCCTCCCGTGGCTCTACCACCTGCTGCCCTGCAGCTGTCCGTGGCCCAGCCACCGTTGGTGCCAACGCCTCCGCGCTCACCTGAGCAGGGTCTTGGTATGGCTTAAGCAAGCCGACATAGAAGACCGGATGCGTGCGCATCTTCTTCGGAAGGTTGAGCGTATACGCTAGGCCCTTCCTGGCCACGACCTTGAACGGTCCTATGAACCGAGGTCTTAACTTCGTCTTGAAGACTGCAGACACTGCATGAGTAGGTAGGTTTTTAGCGTTTAATAAAACTTGGTCACCGACCTCAAACCTCTCAACATTGCTTCTGCCCTTGGCATCTGCATGTTCCTTCTGAGTGTCTTGGCTTTCAGCCATAGCGTCGCGTACTTGACGCATTACGCTCAGTCTCAAAGAGACAAAGTCATCGACTTGCTTGCGAACCGCAACAGGGCTGACATCAGCTAGCCGCTCAGCTATCCCTCCCCCACCAAGCCCTGAGCCACTGCGTGGCGGCGTCAGTGGGACGCGAGGGTTAACCAAGCCGTC